TCTACCATCTTCACTTAGGGGTAGAGATCTATAGGTGGCCAACATGTTAGAAGGTAATTGAACAATGTCAAAATAGGGTGGTCGTTGTAGGGGTGGTAATGGATTGGTGGGAACTCGTAGTGGTTGTTCAAGTCGTGGTCTTTTGTCACCGATCTCGTTGGTGTCTTCGTCCTCGTCACCACGCTTACGTATAATTCTAGCAACATGAACAGTGTTCATATCTGAGGCATCATCGTCAGACAGAACTTCAAGACTTACACCGTCGATAGAATCACGATATTCAACCAAATCGCTGTAGAGGTCACACCTTGTGCCGGCATCAGCAGGGTTCTCGGCAGAGGCCACATAGTGAATTTCAAACTGGCGTCTTCCCATAAGGTAATGAATAAGGTCGATAGCTCGTTGAAGTAGAGTAGATTGCTTACCAGAAGTGCAGACCTTACCAGAGGCTAGGGCAGCATTAGCTGTACGATTATCGCCGTAGAGGATGATCTTCGAGAACTTCTTATTGGTATCGAGCTCGAAGGAGACAAGAGTAGAGAGAGCATTGTAGGCAGTAGTGAGTTCCTTCACGTTAGGCACGCAAGGCTCGCTCTTGAGTGGACCATTTCCACTGCTTTTTGAATACCACTTGGTTGTCCTGCATGGCCACCATCGCTCCCAAGAGTTCGGAGGAGTCGAACCAGACATGAATAGGTGCATCTGGATTGATGTACCGGTGCGTCGGAGTTGGAGGGTTGGCCTTCAACAGTTGTTGCCATCTTCTGAGCAAGTCCATAGCCTTATCGTCCACATCGTCAGTCCATTTGTGGTCGTTCACAGCTCTTAATCTTGAAACTAGTGCAGTCAGGCAGTTCTTGATGATGAGAATGTGCCATGGTAATAGGTCCCAAGCCTGCCATAAAATATTGAGGAGTGATAGAGCTTTTTTATATGAGACTGTGCAGAGATATCGAAGTCGACGGCATCTTTATACTTGTAGGTAGGCAGTAGAAGAGAGTTACTTCATCGCAAAGCTCGTGTCCGAGGAC